TCCTAAGCATAAGCGAGAGTTTTTCATAAGCAAGTTGGCAGTTTTCTTACTCTTAATAATATATTATTAGTTTAATCTTCGTCGGTAAGGGGTCACATTTCTATCAATAATATTTTTTCTGGGACAATCTGTCCCGTTTTGTGGGCCGGGGAGAAGAAGTTCCTGTAGAACATTTTAATAATAGGGACCGGTAATGCACTGTATATTTATATCTGGAGGGTGCAAAGGCTTTGTTAAAGATATAGAATGTCACAATATTTCCAGCTATCAATTGGTCGAAATATTCCGGATTTTTTTTTTGTTAGAAAATGTTGTGACCACGAGGGAACCTTAGTAAACCATGTTTTGTGTTCAGTATTCGTTTTGTTTCTCAAGATTATTATTATTACTTGCGATTACCGATTCAAAAATTTTTCCTGCAATAGACATTAAGCGAATCGAACGCAAGTGGTCTACATTTGCAACCCTCCACGACTCCAGTATTCTGCTCGAATTAATGATTTGTTGAAAGTGCTACACAAGGGCTCACTAAACTCTTCTTTACATTCTTGAAGCACTCAGGCATATATTAAAGTTTTTTCTCGAGTAAATACAGACACAAAGTACTTATTTAAAATGCCGCCCATTTATTTGTCTCTGTTTTCAATTTTCCATTCTTCTCCTTAATCTTTGTTTGATATACCTGAAAAGATAAATCTTTAGAATTTGCGTTTGCCTTCCCTGCTTTACCCCGAGAAAGTAAAATTATTGTGAGCGTCGATGTCGTCAGTCTCCTATTCCATCCTCTGTAGTTCAGTGATGCTTTTATGAGAATCTTATCAATATCTACCCCAAGAGAGAGGCTCCGAAGAGGATAATGTCTGCAGGATTGATTATGTGAACTCCGTGTAAGATTGTTTTTACTCCACTTATCATGTTTGAGTAGGAAATGGCTTTTAAACATCTGGAAGGGTTTATGGTGATGCCTAGATTTGTTTTCTCTGCTCCAGAATTTTCCTGATATCCTACAAGAGCAAGTCTAGAGAGAGCCGTCGTCCAAGAGCCAGATATTGAAATCGCTAGGCAGACTTTTAGTTACTTCTTTAATGGTTAGTCAGAAAAGGAGAAATTGTAATGGACGTCTTTGCAAGGTAATCTTTGTCGGACACATTCACGTGAGTTGACTTCGTGTTTGCCAAACAGGAACATCAAACAGGCATTGCAGCGTGATAACAGCTTGATCATATTCTTTTGGTCTGAGATGTTGGTGATGTACGGTCGAACTGATTGGGGAGCAGCTTCACATACTTAGGGGGATCCCAAAATAAACCTGACATGGTTTCGATAAGATGATCGCTTCTTAACTGACTTTTTTTTCCCCTGACAGCCTTATCAACCAGGCCTTGGAAGATCCAGCACAGAGAGAGAGGCTTCATGACCTGATAGTGGTATATCGTATTATATTTTATCAGGAATAAGACATAAAGACACATTGTGTAAGTACGGTTCGATTCCCGGAGTGATTTTATATTTATACAAGTAAGAGCTTTCTCTTAGACAATATGGCATCGAGTCTCCTGGTCCAAGCTAAGGCGGTGCTAACTTTATCTCTCACTAAAGTTAAGCACGGGAAGTGTGTGTCAAAAATGGCAGGAAAGTTAGTCTCTCTCTCTCTCTCTCTCTCTCTCTCTCTCTCTCTCTCTCTCTCTCTCTCTCTCTCTCTCTCTCTCTCTCTCTCTCTCTCTCTCTCTCTCTCTCTCTCTCTCTCTCTCTCTCTCTCTCTCTCTCTCTGTCTCTCTTAATAAACTTGGTATTAGATATGTAGACGATGAGTGACAATAACGTGGCTGAAGATATCACGACCAGACCACACATCAGAAAATTAAGAAACGACGACATTTCGGTCGGTCGTGTAATAGAAGAGAGGAAGGGCACAGGCAAATAAGTAAGGTGAGAGAATGAGATAAGAGGTGAGGAACAGGTAAGAGAAAAATAAGATGAACAAATGACAGAGCTCGGTATATATCTTGAAGGAGTCTGAATGCATTTTCTGCAACACAGAAGGAAAGTGACCAGTCAATATGCATTTTGCTATCCCCACACCATACATATCCTACATAATATTTATACAGATACTTTCCTCTATGATAACTTCTAATGATAGCTCCACATTTGACTATCAGTTATAAAGTTTCTTTCGCAAAAAGATAGAACAGGTTCGTCCATCTTATCGTCCTCGCTATGAAACGCGTTGTAAGGCCTATTATGAAGAAATTAACATTAAACAAATAGCCAGTAACGCAGCCAACCTTATCTTCACTCACTCAGAACTCGTCTCACATTCATCTGAACTCGTCTGGGTTCACCTTAACTTGAACCGGAATGCTACAGATAATTGCAAACTAAAAATAAAGTTTAAAATAACAAAATAACTAAATAAAGTATGAAAATTGTAGCTTAAAAACAAAGAGTAACTTAAAAATAACGATGATGACTGTAACTATGCAACCAAAACAAGCAACACAAACCTCTCTTCCACCCTCTGGAACACAGAGCAACATTTTCACTTTCCACATTTTACAGACAAAAGAGCGCAACACAGCATGAATATTCAGAAATATTTTGAGGTCATAGAGAAAGTGTTTCACCAGGTGGGAGAGGAGAGACGCGTTGTGGTCATAAGGAGTGTGTGTGTGTGTGCGCCTCCTGGTGGCGATGGTGGTGATGTTGTGGTATTTGATTCTCTTTCAATTTCTTGTAAATGTTGTTTTATGCCATAGTGATAAGTTTGGCGTCCTAAATGATGTTGAATGATGATGTTCTTCGTTTTTGTGTGGCTCGAAGCTTGCCTCGAAGGCTTTCCATCAACATAATACCGTACTAAGTGTATTAACAGGAGCACCTCTCTATACTCACGGTTCTTCGAGCAATCTTGCGGGATATGCCGAAGGCTTGCACCACCCAGGAGCTCTTTCTGTGCCCTTTTTGCTGGTTGATGGGTTGGAAGTTGGACCCCCCCATTGGTGGTCTTGCTTGATCAAGGTCGGCGTTCAATCCCCGACCGTCCAAGTGGTTGGGCACCATTCCTTCCCCCCGTCCCATCCTAAATCCTTACCCCTGACCCCTTCCCAGTGCTATATAGTCGTAATGGATTGGCGCTTCCTCCTCACAATTCTCTTCCCTTCTCCGTTTTGTATTTTCACTCTTACTATAACACTTTGCTTCCTTCCCAGACGGTAAGCCTTCACCCAATCATAGTCACACCAGCCTGCCACACCAGCCTGCCACACCAGCCTGCCACACCTGCCTGCCACACCTGCCTGCCACACCTGCCTGCCACACCTGCCTGCCACACTAGCCTGCCACACCTGCCTGCCACACCAGCCTGCCACACCAGCCTGCCACACCTGCCTGCCACACCAGCCTGCCACACTAGCCTGCCACACTAGCCTGCTTTTTCTAGTGTTGATCTCTTGACGTGGTTTGAATAGCAAGTTTCGAGAGAAAGATTATTTTCTAATGAACAAATCCACAAGGGCCGTGACGAGGATTCGAACCTGAGTCCGGGAGCATCCCAGACACTGCCTTAATTAAGATGATTTTCTAATTCTACACTGGGGCTGTCGGACATCAGAAAGCCTTCCTTCGTTACATTTCTCTTCAACTTCTTGCTGTTCTTCATACCCTTTCCTCTTCCACCTCCTCTTTAGCTTCTTCTCCTTTACCAACTGCACTTCTTCATCTTCCCCAAGTTCCCCCCCCCCTCCCTAACCCTCCAGAGCAAGAAAGCTGTATGCGCTCTTCCATGGTAGCCCGTAAGTACCTCGGACACAGAGGTCAGTGTTGGCCACCACAACTACCTTAAAGTTTTCACTGCTCGCTAAGATTTACAGCCTGTGGGATGCAACAAGTTCAGTGGGGGAGGTTTTACTGGTTGTTGCGTAAAGAGATTTTTTTGGGGGGGATTTTAATTTCCGTCTCTGTCTTGTTTGCTCCACCTAAAATTATCTTCTTTCTTGAACCACCGCAATCCCCCCCTCTCCTGCTCTCTCTCTCTCTCTCTCTCTCTCTCTCTCTCTCTCTCTCTCTCTCTCTCTCCCTCTCTCTCCCTCTCTCTCCCTCTCTCTCTCTCCTCTCTCTCTCTCTCTCTCTCTCTCTCTCTCTCTACCTCCTTCTCACACTCTTTCGTAGTTTATTTAAACTAAGACTAAGGTTTAGTCATAAGAAACATAAGTTTCTTATGAAACTACAACAGTTTTTCGACGTCTGTATTCTCTGCTGGTTTGTGTTCGTCACTGTCCACCCGTTTGTCATTGTAAAATGTATTGTAACCTCCATATATTAGGAGATAATACTGTAATGAATTTGTTAGTGTTGTATCTTCAATCTGAGACTGAATGGAGCCAGAATTAGCGACAAAAAATATCTTCGCCCTTATGGTACGTGGACAATTGAGCTATTTTAAATGCGAACCTATTTTAGTTACCTCTGCTTTAATATATCGTAAAAATGACAGTGGCCGATTATTATATGTTGCCGCACAATACGATAAAACATTTGACTGTGATTGTTTAATTAGTGTATATTAATAAATGCTGCAGCCATAGCGAGTTGTGTACTTACAGTGCATTTAACGAACTCCAAACTGACTGTTGCAGTTACGGTGTGCTTACCGTAACTTACTGAGAAGTTATGTAGTTACGGTGGACTTTTTCGAGCCACAGACAAATGGGTTAGCTACAGTGTGCTTATCGAGCCACAGAGAAATTTGGTAGTGACAGTGTACTTACAGACCTTCCTGTGTTTAAGTAAACTTAAGAATTCTTACACTCTTTTAAGTTAATATTCATTGACAGCAATATTGTACCATTATATACTTACATGTATGCCACTTTTAATTGTTCTTTTTATCTTTGTCTGAATGAATTTTGTCTTTTTAATTCATTCTCTTTGTCTCCGAGCCGACGACCCTCTCGGCTGTGCCTCAGGCATCTATATAACAACTACTTTTTCTTCAACAGAATCGCAAGCGATGGTGACGTAGGTATCACGTGACTATGGCTGTGACGTCACTTCCTAATGGAAATACTACTGTGATTCATCCTTCTATCCTCATGGGAGGTAAGACTTAGTTTAAGTATATAATGATTTAAATTTACACGTGTATAATATGGATATATATATAGGGGGCACCTCTGGCTGTGTGTAGGGACCCTCAATCATCGAAGAAGAGGATATGCAGCACCCGGGGGAGCCATGTCGGGCTCTCACGTGCACTGACACACATATTGTCTTCCCTTCTCCACCCTCCCTGCCATTAACCAACAACCCTATCCTTCACCTCATTCCTTACCTTTACTACCAATCTCTCTACACCTTATTTTCCCTTCATCACTGTAACCATCGTCACTACAACAATAAAAAATAAAACTACATAAGACACACTAACACTTAATCATCACGTTGAAAATAATTTGCCGGATGATGCTCGGTGAGGCTAGAGTCTGCATTTAACGGAATTGAGAATTATTGTCATTTTACATTTCATGCAAGGGAATTGACTCCGACCCGCCTATGACCATCCCAGACCAAAGACCAGTTACCATGCAAAGTTTGGTGATGCTAGCCCCAGGCGTCTGGCCTCCAACTTCGAACAGACCGAAAGATAAACATTCTCTTTAATATAGATATTCAGGATATCACTAAACATGTCACCTTGAATTACAATAATTTTCACTGTGGTTTTCTAGCATATTTATGTCATACCATAAGAGCTGGACTTGCCTAGCAAACCCTAATTTTTTCATATTTAATAGTATACAAATTTATTTTATATGAGTTTTTCATTGTGATACATCTTGAGGTTATCTTGAGATGATTTCGGGGCTTTTAGTGTCCCCGCGGCCCGGTCCTCGACCAGGCCTCCACCCCCAGGAAGCAGCCCGTGACAGCTGACTAACACCCAGGTACCTATTTTACTGCTAGGTAACAGGGGCATAGGGTGAAAGAAACTCTGCCCATTGTTTCTCGCCGGCGCCTGGGATTGAACCCAGGACCACAGGATCACAAGCCCAGCGTGCTGTCCGCTCGGCCGACCGGCTACATATGATAAGGATTACCTTTGAGAGAAGCGGTGTTCTCAACGTGGCATGGCCGCTGGTATCTGACTAAATAATGATGATTACTTTAAGTTAGGCAATACTGAGGAATAGTCGGCTTATTTAGAATAGATAAAGTTGGCAAGTTAGTTTTGGTTCAAAATATAAACAATGTTTATCGTAATGAGGTAATGAGGTTTCAGTGGGAAAGTTCAGTCGATCGACGACGGCTTAATTTGGGCTACATGGACAAAGGAGGGGGAGGGAAGGGTCGATTGGGCACGGATCCAAGGCATTATCAAGGTAATTAGACTCGTACGGAGTCGTGATATTATTAAGGCTGAGTTGCCGAATAAACCGAACTCTCTCAATAATGATTTTTTCATTATATTTTTCTTATGCATTTAAGTGCTTTATTAAATGCATCCTTAAATGCATAAGAAAAATTGATCGAAAAAAAATCATTATACAGAAAATCCGGTTAATTCGGCAACTCAGCCTAAATATCACGACTCCGTACGAGTCTAATTACCTTGATAATGCCTTGGATCCGTGCCCAATCGACCTTCCCAGCCCAAATCCAGTCGAACACGCTCGACTGAACTTTCCACCGAGCCTCATTACCTGAGTGTTGCCCTCCAGGTGCTGTAGTAACTCCTCCTCCTTCCTCAGACTCCACGACGGTGGTGTCTCCCACCTCCACAGACGGTGAGGCTCTCAGACGTCTGGAGAAGGAACGCGAACTGGAGGTAAGTGTCTGAAGGGGCAAGTGTTCTCGTCTAGTTGTGGGTAGCGGGGGGGGGGAGGAGGGGGTTGAGCTTCGGTTCTTTGGTCCCGCCTCTCAACTGTCAGTCAACTGGTGTACAGGGTTCCTGAGCCTATTGGGCTCTATCATATTTACATTTAAAACTGTGTATGGAGTCAGCCTCCACCACATCACTGCCTAGTCCATTCCATCCGTGCATTAATGTGTGTGTGTGTGTGTGTGTGTGTTTGTGTGTGTGTGTGTGTGTGTGTGTGTGTGTGTGTGTGTGTGTGTGTGTGTGTGTGTGTGTGTGCGTGTGCGTGTGCGTGCACTCACCTAGCAATATTTTGCTAACATTGATCCCTGGGAAGCGAGGACTAGCCCTCATGCCTCGCCAATGAGTCTTGTTGTACTCGTTTCATTTAGTTTTTAACTTTACATAAAAAATATTCAAACACCATTAAACTTTTATTATAAAATATTTAATATCTGAGGAAATTTTGTAATGAAGTTAATAATTGGGACTATGATAACGTTTAACAGTTGGCAGAATTACTATCTTCTGAAAGAATTGTTAGTCTGCAAGAGATAAATGAATAATTAATTGTTTGATTAAATTGTTAAATTATTAGAAAGTAAGCACATGTAACTTAAAAGTGTTTTTAGATATAAATTGTATTAGAGCAATTAGTGACATCTAATATATTTACTTTTGTTTGAGGGGGAAATCATAGATTGAAAATTAGATTAACAATAATTACAATGTTATTATTCTTAATATATTACAATGTTAATTATTTTTATTATGTTTATTATTATTAATATATTATGTTTATTATTATAATATATTATGTCTATTATTATTATTATTATTTTTACTATTACATTATTAAATAATTACTCAAATCAGTGAGCAGAATAACATCATTCTTGCAATCAGAGGGACACAATAAATACGATTCCATCAGCTAGCGAATACCTGGAAAACTTTCTATATATAGGCAACGATGCTTCACAATGTCGTTTCAATTTTTCATGGGAACAGTGTTTAATTACACCAAACTGTTACAGAGCCTCACTTCAAAATTCACATTATAAAAGGGAAGTAATAACTAATGAAATTCACATTATAAAAGGGAAGTAATAACTAATGAAATTCACATTACAAAATGAAATTCACATTAGCATGAACATAATTAATATGTCATGATACTGAACGTGGGTGATCCTGGTACAGTGGCGTCACTCTGATGTAACGCAATACAGCGCGTCCCCCCTAATGTTTCCCAACGTCATGTTGTTGTTCTTATAGATTCAGCTACTCGGAAGTTCCAAGTAGCACGGGCTATGGTGAGCCCGTAACATACCTGGCACAGGAGCGGGGCAAGTAGCACGGGCTATGGCGAGCCCGTAGTGGACTTACCTGGCACAAGAGCGGTACTGTGCTTTTTCCAACGTCAAGAAAACGGTCAATTTAAAGTGTCGTCTAATCTACCAGAGGACCCAAAACAGAAAACGGGACAGTACGTCACTTTCGCCAGCAGCTTACATTTTATAGTACGACGACTTTTTTGGCCTTGTATAACGCATAGGTGCGAAATGCGCCGCTCTTCGTAAGAGGACAGACAGGTTGTGCACTCAGCACTTGATCATGAATGACCGTGAGGTCGGAACGCGGAGAACAGCTTGTGTGTCTGGTGCCTAAAAATACATGAGGTTAATACTTTCAAATATGTCTCAGGCCAACCCTGTGTAGTTTGTTTATAAGAGATTGTTGGGAACAATATACCGACTATAAAAATGATGCTTACAGCATGCTGTACCAGCCATCGAACCCGCACAGTGGCATAACCAAAGCAATCTATGATATTCCCTCTCTTTCCTAACTCCTCTCTAAATAAACTCATCAGATGTTGTTTTCACCTATGTATCGACCTTCCTTACCTGCTCGACAAGACCTTTATTCTACAATCGACGTATTGTAAGTAGACTCTTGTTTAGCCAAGATAGCGACCCTAATACGGAATTTAAGAAGAGCCTTAAAGTCTCCTCCGGAAAATTGTTTCAACGATAAATGAACTACTGCCAACCTAACCCCGCAAAATCAAATCATTTCTTAGATTCCAATATCTACTCTAGTCTAACTAACCCTTTTCGACAGGAGTTCTACTCAACTTACGACGTGTGGACGGGGATCCGAACCGCCGTTACGCTAGCCCTCTTCTTCATCTTCACCGTCACCCTCATCCTGTACAAGAGCAAGTGCAAGCCGCGGCGCAAGTACGAGCTCTACCCGAGCCTCGAGGACATGCCCGACCGGCCCCTCGACTACTACGACTACTGGTGCCCCAGCCCCGTCAGGTCAGTGTTAAGATGGCAGGTCTTGGAGGGATGACTGCTTGGCTAGTGGGAGTATTACACAGGGACTTCAGGGCGTCCAGTGTCCCAACCCCGTCAGGTCAGTGTTAAGATAGCAGGTCTTGGAGGGATGACTGCTTGGCTAGAGGGAGTATAACACAGGGACTTCAGGGCGTCCAGTGCCCCAACCCTGTCAGGTCAGTGTTAAGACAACAGGTCTTGGAGGGATGACTGCTTGGCTAGTGGGAGTATTACACAGGGACTTCAGGGCGTCCCATCTACTCGGACTGTTCGGTGGTTAAACGGCGACTTCGCTTCATGCGTGCTTTGCGTTCGATTCCCAATGTTATCCTCATGTACCAATTCCTTATCTATCCACTTATTCCTATCAAGTGCTGAAAAAGCCATCCTTGCTTAGTGCTTTTAATCCTCAAAAATTGCCTTAGGGACTTAAGGGAGATAGACAGTTGATAAGACGCTTGAGGCAAGAAACAGAAGACGGGACTGATAGAACCTAGAAAGACATTATAAGGATGTGATGGCCGGTTACCGGAAGTGATACACCAAACCTGCGGTTGACCACATTAAGGATGCCTAAAATACTCAACCATTTCAGAAGAAGCACAAGGATGTGCTGAGGAGATAAAGAGAGAGTTCTAGGCTGATAAGTGCCTCAAGGCGACTTGGAGTGTGTTAAGATGATCAAATGTGTGATAGGACGACCATGATCGAGTGTTTTTGGGTGTGTTGAGATGATCAGGAATGTAATGGGGCGATCAGGAGTGTCTTGGAGGTGATCAGGAGTGTCTTGGGTGATCAGGAGTGTGTTGGACTGATCAGGAGTGAGCTGGACTGATCAGGAGTGTGTTGGACTGATCAGGAGTGTGTTGGACTGATCAGAAGTGTGTTGGACTGATCAGGAGTACGATGAAGTGACCACAAGAAGCGAAGCCAGGCCCGGTACCGACAAGTCCAAGTGGCATGAACTGTTAAACTGGATAAGCAACTGTGCTCTTGGAGAGAAAGCAGGAAATAGAGGTTATTTGTCGTGTTATTTGGCATAATTAACACAGTACCAGCTGGTAATGAACACAGTACTGTGTTGGCCATCAACATAGTACTGGGTTGTGTTGAGCACTGTGCTCTGGACACTAAGTGTGGTGCCAGAGATGCAGTGTGACCTCAGTGCCTTGCTCTAACACGCCCACTGGTCCTTCCCACCTTTCCTTTCTCTTCCCTCAGCCAGGAGAGGTTGCAGAAGGTGAACGGTATGGACACCTTGGGTCGCTGCTACAACGGTAGAGGAGAGACGGGATCAGCGCCTCTTCCGATCCACCGATCCGTTGGTTCCTACTCCAGCCTCAACAACTCCTTCAGGTGAGTCCTGGGGGGTAGGCGAGTCCTGGGAGTAGGTGAGTTTTGGGGTAGGTGAGTTCTAGGGTAGGTGAGTTCTGTGGTCGGTGAGTCCTGGGGTAGGTGAGTCCTGTGGTCGGTGAGTCCTGGGGTAGGTGAGTTCTAGGGTAGGTGAGTCCTGGGAGTAGGCGAGTCCTAGGGTAGGCGAGTCCTGGGGGTAGGTGAGTTTTGGGGTAGGCGAGTCCTGTGGTAGGTGAGTTCTGGGGGGTAGGTGAGTCCTGGGGGGTAGGTGAGTCCTGTGGTAGGTGAGTTCTAGGGTAGGTGAGTCCTGGGAGTAGGCGAGTCCTGTGGTAGGTAAGTTCTGGGGAGTAGGTGAATCCCGCAGTAGGTGAATCCCCAGAGCGTGTTAGCCTGTGGGTGGGTCGTAGGACTATTAAGTCGTAAGGACAATTGTCCTCGGGCTGAAATTCAGTAGCAAGACCCTAAGTTGTTAGCATATTTTGGTTGTTAGTTCCTGTCTGGCTAGTTACCGCTAGTCCTGGTACTGGCTAATTAACCAAGTTCTGGGAATGGCTGGTTCAGCAAATACTGCCACAGGCTAGTTAATTCAGTGGTAGGTAAAGGTTGTTTCCTAGGTCATATGTTTAATCAGGTGCGGGGGTAATACTAACTCGGTCTTGAGTTAACTCGGGGTCATGATAGTTAACGCTGTAATAATTAAGTCATGCGAGTTTACTGTGCCAAGTACGAGGTCATACTTGTTAGTCAGATCCTTGGAAAGGTTGGACTGCAGGACACGAGCCACCAGTTTGCTAGTGACTCAGGTCACATTAGGTTATTAAGGACTACTGATAATTATATTATATATATATATATGTATATGTGTGTGTGTGTGTGTGTGTGTGTGTGTGTGTGTGTGTGTGTGTGTGTATTTCAACCGACCTTCAAAAATAAATCTTTATCTACAAAGTCGTGTAAATGACATTCCAAGCAGAAGTTAATATATCAATTGTAAAGTCTTTAGTAATCCCAAGTGCACAGTGTGAGTTTTAGCTCACTAGCAAACCACTTCAGTAACAATAGTTGTGTCCGGTCCAACTGATTAAAAATCCACAATATTTGGGGGTGGTTTTTCAACATGTTAATCGTCTCTGTATTTTGTCAACAGTTAACTGCTTTGTTAAATCATTACATTCCATATCAAATAGTGCCCGAGTTACGAACTTTTTATTATGTAATGACTTAATTTAAAACTTGATATTGTCTTTCAGTTTCCGGTAACTGGCGGAAATTTGTAAAATGAAAAAAAAAAATATCCAAAGAAATGTTGTACTCACCTAGTTGTGCTGACGAGAGTTGAGCTTTCGCTCTTTGGTTCCAACCTCTCTTCCGTCAATTAACTGGTGCTGTGTTTAATAAGATGTGTGAATTGTATATTTTAAACTCTCACATTCTCTCTCTCTCTCTCTCTCTCTCTCTCTCTCTCTCTCTCTCTCTCTCTCTCTCTCTCTCTCTCTCTCTCTCTCTCATTTACTCACTTCTCTTCCCCAAGGGTGAAAAGCTTACCAGGGAGTGTGTTAAGGATCAACAGCTCTCGTAACTCTTCCTTCGAGCGAGATGACCCAGCACAATCGGTAAGTCAGACCACTGTACAATCGGTAAGTCACACAAGTGAGCAATCAGAAATTTAGATGGTTTGCGCAAACTGTAAGTCAGGTAAGAGTTTGGTCACTGAAATGGGTAAGTGAACACATATAACAGTAGGGTAACTTCAGTGAGTGGACACATATAACAGCAGGGGTAACTTCAGTGAGTGAACACATATAACAGCAGGATAACTTCAGTGAGTGGACACATATAACAGTAGGATAACTTCAGTAAGTGGACACATATAACAGCAGGATAACTTCAGTGAGTGGACACATATAACAGCAGGATAACTTCAGTGAGTGGACACATATAACAGCAGGATAACTTCAGTAAGTGGACACATATAACAGCAGGATAACTTCAGTAAGTGGACACATATAACAGCAGGATAACTTCAGTGAGTGGACACATATAACAGCAGGATAACTTCAGTGAGTGGACACATATAACAGCAGGATAACTTCAGTGAGTGGACACATATAACAGTAGGATAACTTCAGTGAGTGGACACATATACCAGCAGGAGTAACTTCAGTAAGTGGACACATACCAGTAGGATAACTTCAGTAAGTGGACACATATACCAGCAGGATAACTTCAGTGAGTGGTCACATATACCAGCAGGGGTAACTTCAGTGAGTGGTCACATATACCAGCAGGGGTAACTTCAGTGAGTGGTCACATATACCAGCAGGATAACTTCAGTGAGTGGTCACATATACCAGCAGGGGTAACTTCAGTGAGTGGTCACATATACCAGCAGGGGTAACTTCAGTGAGTGGTCACATATACCAGCAGGGGTAACTTCAGTGAGTGGTCACATATACCAGCAGGGGTAACTTCAGTGAGTGGTCACATATACCAGCAGGGGTAACTTCAGTGAGTGGTCACATATACCAGCAGGGGTAACTTCAGTGAGTGGTCACATATACCAGCAGGGGTAACTTCAGTAAGTGGACACATATACCAGCAGGGGTAACTTCAGTAAGTGGACACATATACCAGCAGGGGTAACTTCAGTAAGTGGACACATATACCAGCAGGGGTAACTTCAGTAAGTGGACACATATAACAGCAGGATAACTTCAGTAAGTGGACACATATAACAGCAGGGTAACTTCAGTAAGTGGACACATATAACAGTAAGATATATTGCTAGTAAGGAAAATTTATCGCAGAATGTAAAGGTAATTTGTTATGGTAATTTTATCGTTAGTAATTAAAATTAATTAATAATTATTATTAATGAGTGTAGATTTACGCAATATTGCATGCTAAAAATCAGCTTATAATGCGTGTAGGCACCTTTATTGCATGCATATCCCTCTGCTGGTTCTCCCAGCGGAAAAATTAATAGAAAAATAAATTAATTAATAATTAAAAAAATAATTAAAATTTATTAAAATTAATAAAATAAAATTAATAATAATTAATCACAATATTCCAAGTTAAATAAGGAAGCCATTTTTTGTAATTTTTTTTTCGTCATTAAATGCTAAATTTGATCTCCTCTTGACCACTCGTCCTTATATTTCACCTTATCTATATTCCTATAACCGTCCCCATACTTTCTCTTCCTCGGCTTCTTATGCTTTTACCTCCACATTCTGTTCGTTAGGAATAAGTGAAGAATACAAGAGATTTCCATAAAAAAGTTAGATAATACCAAGATGCAATACCATTGATTCATTTCCTATGTACCTATTGTCTTGTGAATTCTATGAGATTCCTTTATCATACCATTAATCCAATGGTTGCTGTAATTACTGTAATGTTCTTAATATCGGTTATGCCTCCTTGGTAATATTCGTACCCTTTCACAGGTTCGCTCGGAGTTCCTTTCTGTACCAGGAGTAAGGCTACAGTCTACTGGATCCAGCAGTGACGGATACAGTGCGGGATCCTCCACCCATGACCTGACGGGGGAAATGACGGCCATGGCCCTGCTGGGGGTCCCTGGCCTGGGGCCACGAGGCAACAAACCCGTGCTCCAGCTGGGTGGCATGGACTGGGATAGCGACCATGCCACTGCCGAGTGGATCCAGACCATCGACATCAATGTCATCCAACCAACACCCAACATCTCCCCTTGCGGGTCTGTTCGCAGCGTCTCCGACAACACCGACCTGGCCAGGCTCCCACTGCCTGGGCGAGGCCGGGAGGCTTCCGTCATTTCACTAGATTCGCCAGACTTTGACAACCGATCTATTGGATCTGATTCCGTGTTCATGGAGGATTCCGTATGTGATACAAACAGCAGCAGGTCTGAAAGCATAGATAGTGGAACCCCTTCCTTCCTGGCGTCGACACGCTCCATGCTCACCCCATCACCCAGGAGCGCCCGTCGTAAGGTACAATCTTTCCGTCTAGGCATAAATCCCTCTGCTTCTGCTGCCTCGCCCGTGCCTACCCGCGCTCCAACTCTGGCTGACCTGCATCGCCCACGTGACCAGCGAAGTCGCCAGAAGCTTCTTAAGCGACAACAGGTGCAAGATATTCCCATGCCCAGTATTACACGTTCTGGCCCAGCCATGACGTCTCTGTTCGTGCCTACGATGGGAGGTTACCTAAACGCTTCCTGTGAGCGCTTAGCTGCTCATTCTTCATTAGTGGCTGAAAGTGAACCGGGCAGCAGCTTGGGCTCCACCTCTTTGACGCCAGCTGGCAGCACTGAGGAGGAGCCCATGTGTGCCGTATACACAGTACCGTCATTACGTCGGTGTAATTCGGCCACGACTCCTGGGCAGAAGGAGGAAGCAGCTGGTTGGAAACGGGCAGATAGTGCCCAGAACCCTACAGTTCGACGAGCAGATAGTGCTTCTGGTCCGCAACGAGAGTCTAGCGAGTCATCCAGCGGATCTGAAGACGCCAGCGAGTCTGTATCATTCCATTTGATGGTGCCAGCTCTTAGTATAGACTACCCAAGTAACGACACCAGTCGCGCTTCCTCTCCCACCCTCTCCCCACCAAGCTCTCCCAATTCCTCCCCACCTTCAGTTCGCACTACTGCAAGTCCACTGCCCACAACAACTATAGAAGCACCAGTCAAAGCCACTCTTGCACCATCGACGACTCGAGGGAGGGGTGTGAGAGACAATGGTGGACGACGAGTTCTTCGACGACAGTATAGCCAGTGCATCCCACCGAGTCCAACACTATTTCGTGACGTTCCTGCTCCCAGCTCTCTCCCAACCTATGTCGAGGAAGACGATGCATACGATGACTTTTCCTTCCCAGCTGCACCACCTCCTTCACCCTTCAGAGCCGGCCATACCCTATTTTTCCGTCGAGATTCCGGCCCTCCCTCACCACTCGTAGCAGCCAACCGGCGAGATTCAGGACCTTCTCCGCCTCCTTTATTACCCATGAATCTTTCCAGTCAAGATTCTGGGCCTTCCCCGCCCCCTTTATCACCTTACTCCCTCACTTGCCTAGACACCGGGCCATCTCCACCCCTCTTATCGCCATACCATCTCATCCGTCAAGAGTCAGGGCCTTCCCCACCTCTCTTATCTCCATACTACACGAACCGTCAAGAATCCGGGCTCTCCCCTCCATTCTTATCGCCTCGTCATGTCAGCTGTCAAGACTATGGAACTTCTCCATCCCCTAACCACTTCCTCCATCAAGACAATGGAATTTCCCCATCTAGCAACTTGCAACGTCAAGATAATGGCTCTTCCCCATCACCAAATCACTTCCACCGCCAAGTCTACAGAATATCCCAGTCACCTGATCAACTCCTCCGCCAAGGCTACAGAGCTTCCCTATTCAGCCAAGTTCTTCGACAAGGTAATGGAAGTTACCCATCCACTAACCTCTTACGTCGTGAGGACTCTGGAACTTCTTCATCTCCTAACAACTTCAACAGCCATCAGGATTCCGGAACTTCACCATCCCCTAATAATGTGAGCAGCTGTAATGACTCTAACTCGTCGTCACCACGCTCCAGATGCTTTCCGCACTCTAACCAAGACTCCAGCACATCTTCGTCCCTCCGATCAATGCCCTACGAACTTCACCAAGGAGACTCCAGCACACCTTCGTCCACTCATTCAGGTGCTCACGCTACTCAACGCCAAGATTCCATCCCACCTTTAGTCGCCCAGTCCCACCAACTCCAGCGCCAGGACTCAAGCTCTCCCTCCCTGGAACTACCAACAGACCACACGGATGATCCCGAAGACTCCCAGCCGTCTTTGCCTTCCTGTTCTGTCATGGAGACCTCCTGTTAACATTCACTACTCCCAGTGTAGGATTTCTAAAATTTGCCGTATAGTGAGGGTTGAAGGTAAAGTAAGATCTTGCTAATAGCCTCACATGCTAAACATTGATTACTCAACGTATTAGTTGTATTATGTGTATTGTATTTACAGTGTGCAAAACACAAGCGGTATAAATATGTTTTCTCATTCTACAGACACACACACACACATACAAAAGTGATAGCCTAATAAACCTTATGTTAGAGTTAGCCCTTAAAATATTTTCATACTCTTTAAAGTAGAACACCTACGTTTTCTGTTAGATTCTGCTGGCGTAACGTCGTTAAATATTGATGGATATATTTTCTGTGCTCAAACCACTGATCGCAATACCGGCATATTTATGGCTAGCTGATTGCCTGGTTTGGTGTTGGGATTAAGGCTTATCAACCTCTGCCGCATTATTATGGTCACACAAGGACGCAATGACCAACCAGCAGGTATACTTTTGTCCAAAACTACAGTAAACTTTACTAAACTCTCAGTGAATGTACACCAAGAAGCTGGATTCATCTCTCGGTGTACATATCCCCTGTGGCAGCTGACTGATAAATGCCACAAGGCGACCACATTGGGACTCCACACTGCAACTTATAAATAGCGTTACTGCAAACAGTAATGTATGAAAGCTATAAAGAAAATTATGTAGGCTTACTAAGATCACACTTTTTCCCTAGACAAAATTATTAAAGACTGTATATCTAGCTCTACTATATCATTAGTCAAATTATTAGGCTCCTTTATCTAGTCCTTGGTTCAATACTCAGTTATAGGATCTCTATAAGCTATTGAAATTTTGAAAGAAATATCAAATCATTCCATATAAGAAACCCACCATATCATATAGCATAGCTGGGCGTGTATTACATGTATAAGCTTTTCGGCCTACATGGTTATTATAGTTCAAGTATTTTCTTTATCAAATATATTTTTGGTTATAAATATTACATATTTCTTTCTGTCATTACTGGACAAATTATGAAAGATTATGAAATCAAGCCAAATATTGGACAAAAATTATGCTATATGGATAAAATATTGGAGTGCAGTATAGAAACTAATAAAGCTTTTGATAAATTCAGTAAAGCTTCTAAAAGAAGTGTAGAAAAAACTCACTGTAGTTGTGTTGTGAGTTGCTAAAATTCTGTTTATTATAAAATATGCAACATAAGGGATTCCCTCATATAAAACAATATCTTTTGAATTCGTGACATATTTATGAGAAATATTAAGTCAGTTTATCATAACTAACAGATAATAGTATTTTAATTAAACCTCATGTCAGCAGAAACATGTTTCTTAAGTGATAATGTCCATACACTCAGCCCCGGGTCCTGACGCGTGGAATTCAAAATTCATCAATAATTGTACCAGTAGCGCGAGCGCTCAATGTAATATGGAGAAAGAGCCTGAATACAGTGGAGATATCAGCAGCACTTAAATCAGTATATATAGCTCCACTACATTAATGAGGTAGTAAAGCTTAAACAAAAAAACAATAAACTAATTGCACTAACATCCCAATAATAAAAGTGTTTGAACCAGTGATTAGAAGTTAAATCTCCAGTTTTATAGAAGGCTTAGGACTTATCAAGAGAAACCTCAAAGTCATTGCGAATATAGCACTTGGAAGGGATCAGGATAAGGACTTGGGACGGATCAGGTGAAGGAATGGTTCCCGACCCACTTGGACGGTCCAGGAATGATCGCCGACCTGCATGGAATTTTAAGGAAAACAATGAAATTCAAAACTCAGGTCAACAGGGATTTAGAGCGTGAAGGTCCTCTCCTTCACAGTTACTGAACTATGAAAAAATCACAGATGCATTAGAAGAAAATAAAATGCAGATATTGTATACACAGACTTTGCAAAAACATTCGATTAGTGGGACCTGTATGTGATAAGTGTGATAGCTCATAAAATAAGATCATTAGGAATACCGGGTGAAGTGGGGCGTTAGATTTTCAACTTTCTGTTAAACAGAACTAAAAGCGTTACAGTCAATCAAATAAGAGAAAGTCCAAGTACAGTGAAAAGCTTTGTATCCCTGGGTACAGTTTCTTGTATAACTGATTTAATTCGTATCTCGGATATAGACAAAAATATTAGTCACAGCTTCATGCCATCCTTTGCTGATGATAAAAAAAAAATCAGCATGAAAATTTCCTCTGTAGATGATACTGAAAAACTACTAGCCGATATAAATAAAGTCTTCGATTAGGCAACGGAAAATAACATGATGTTTAACAGTGATAAGTTCCAGGAACTTATGTATGGTAGAAACGAGGAACTTAATCGAAACACAGGGTACAGGACACAATCAGACCTACTCATACAAAGAAAGCAACATATAAAAGATCTGGTAATTATGATGCCTAACATCTAGTAACTGTAACCGAGCAAATATAGCGGCGGCCAGGAAAGTGATAGGATAGATTATGAGAACGTTCAAATTCAGAGATCACACAGCAATATTAATACTGTTTAAATCACAGATGTTGTCCCGTCTTGAGTACTGTTCAGTATCCCCTTTAAAGCAGGAGAGATTGCTGAAGTAGAGGGAATACAGAGAATCTATGCGGCACGCATAGACATGATAAAACGCCTAAATTATTGGGACCGTCTCAAAGCTCTTAAAATATACACTTTGGAAAGAAGATGAGAGAGGTATCAGTAATATATTCATGAAGATACTGGAAGGCCAGGTTCCAAATTTGCACAGTAGAATAACAACATACTGGAGAGACAATGCGGATGGAAAAGCAAAATAGAACCAGTGAGAAGTAGAGGTGCCATAGGCACAATCAGAAGTTACTCGTTGTCTGAACATCAGGATTCCACGGCTGTTCAACACCCTCCCAGCAAGCATTGGAAATATTGTCGGAATAAAAGTGGAGGTCTTCAAAAATCATTTAGATAAGTTCCTGCAAGAAGTGCCGGACCAACCAGGCTGTAGTGGATATGTGAACCTGCGGGCCGATCCAGGCAACAGCCTGTTGGACCAAGTTATCACAAGTCGAGCCTGGTCCCAGGCCGAGTTCGGGAAGTAAAAGAACTCCCGGAGCCCCTCTCCAGGTATAAGGTAAAATGCTATATATATCAAGCAAATTTGTTGTTTTAGATTCAACTACTCAGAACAAAACGTTCTAAGTAGCACGGGCTATGGTGAGCCCGTAAGTGGTGGCTCTTTGGAACCATTATCTGTATCAATAGCTGATACTGGAGATCTGGGGATGGGATCCGTGCACCCACCAATCCAATCCAAGAGCAGGAAGGACTACAGATGATGACTGATAAAGATTAAGCCATCCTCAAGGTGGCACGGGCATGAATACCCCGTAAGTGGAGGCTTTTTCAAGCCATTACCAGTACCAATAGGTCAAATTAGCAACGGTCATACCTCCAGTAGGTCCAGGCTGCATGACATGCATCTCACCTCATTCCAATACTCTTTATTTATATCTGTTGGAGTCCCAGTGTGGCCTCAAGATAACTTCCAGCAGATCTATTCAATCAACCCGCTATCCAGTAACAAGTGTAGATTTATGAATGATAAGTTACAAGAGTATTACATAAACATTATATAATATGATTATATATATTATATATATAAAGCTCTTGTAAATGATCATTTCCTGTCCATCACTTTCACTGACCCCTGATATAGTTTATTATGAAATCAGTAACGGTTGCGGCGCCTACTGCCAACCAAATCAGAATAAATGTACTATATCTTTTTATTTTATTTTTTCACCACAGACGAAAACAAAAATGAATCCATTTATCCGTATTTGACCCCACCAACTTTCCAGTGACGATGGTGCAGAGAGAGAGAGAGAGAGAGAGAGAGAGAGAGAGAGAGAGAGAGAGAGAGAGAGAGAGAGAGAGAGAGAGAGAGAGAGAGAGAGAGAGAGAGAGAGAGGAGGGAGAGAGAGAGAGACAGACAGAGACAGAGTTAAAGTTTTCCGTTAACTGTTATATTAAATTTAAGGTATAGGTGTTGAACAAAGCTGAGGTCTCGTGACAGTGTGTGACACACATGACCGTGTACCACCTCCCAGTAACTGTAGTTGTCAATGTCATACTAAAACTGTCGGTGTGATAAATCAAAATATTTTGTCCCAAGTGTTCCCCGACATTCCCTCTGAGTGGGATGCCGAGGGTGACAGCGGGCCAGACATTCATCCATCTCATCATCCAAATGTCATCCATATATATATATACTGTGGGAGAGCAGTAACTATATCAGTGATTAGTCGTGAAATGTGAAAAATTATTGTTTATATATATAAATAAAAAATGTTTATATACATATATATATATACATTTCTGTGCATGGAACCGCCAGAAAAATGCGGCTGTGTTCGGGAAGAAGATCCTTGACTAGGATGAGGATTCTTAACCAATCGGAGAGCTCCATTTATTCGGTGATAACATAATTGAAATCTTATGATTGGTCGCGAGTGTGTTGTGATAATGCTGCTCATCACAGCCTCGTGATCCAACCTTACGGATCATATATTTTCCTGAACACAGCCCAAAATTATATATTTATCTGAGTGATGTAAGCCTAATACACAATATGAAAAGAATCGTGTTAAGAGACACCCATTACAGAAAATAATTTATATTTGTTTATATACTTTATAAATGACAAAAAAAAATTGGACTTTAAATTTCCTCATAATTATTCTTTATATACGCATTTCCTTATGAGTATGCTTGTGCTCAGTGATATATATATGTATGTATGTATGTGTGTATGTATGTATGTATGTATGTGTGTACTCGCCGAGTTGTGCTTACGGGGGTTGAGCTTCGGCTCTTTGGTCCCGCCTCTCAACTGTTGATCAACAGGTGTACAGATTCCTGAGCCTATTAGGCTTTACCATATCTACACTTAAACTGTGTATGGAGTCAGCCTCCACCACATCACTTCCTAATGCATTCCATTTATTAACTATTCTGACACTGAACAATTCTTTCTAATGTCTTTATGGCTCATTTGGGCACTCAATTTCCACCTGTTCCCTAGTGCGTGTGATTCTTTGTGTTAAATAAACTGCCTTTGTCTACCCTCTCAATTTCTTTGAGAATCTTGTATATGGTGACCATGTCCCCTCTAACTCTTCTGTTTTCCAGCGACGTGAGGTTTAATTCCTGTAGTCTTTCCTCATAGCTCATGCCCCTCAGTTCGGGCACTAGTCTGGTGGCAAACCTCTGAGTTTTCTCCAATATAGTTTTATGTGTTTTATGTTTGACGAGATACGGACTCCGTGCTAGAGCTGCATGGATTGCTGCACCAATGCATCTCCAGGATTGGTCTGACATACGTGGTATACAGGGTTCTGAATGATATGATTCTTTACACAAGTTTCTAAAGGCTGTTTTGCAACCTGGCATATGATGCTGATGTTATCCTCTTGATGTGGGCTTCGGGGGACAGGTCGGGCATGAGGCCAAGTCTCAGGTCTTTCTCTCTCTGTGATTCTAGAAGAATTTCATATCCCAAATGATACCTTATATCTGGCCTCCTGCTCCCTACACCTATCTTTATTACATTGCTTGAGTTAAACTGTAACAACCATTTGTTGGACCATTCCTTAAGTTTGTCCAGGTCTTCCTGAAGTAAATTCATCTAGTTATATTCACCTAGTTGTGCTTGCGGGGGTTGAGCTCTTCTCTTTCGGCCCGCCTCTCAACTGTCAATCAATCACCTGTTACTAACTACTAACTTTTTTTACACATACACACACACACACTCAGAAAGCAGCCCGTAACAGCTGTCTAACTCCCAGGTACCTATTTACTGCTAGGTAACAGAGGCATCAGGGTGAAAGAAACTGCCCATTTGTCTCTGCCGGTGCCGGGAATCGAACCCGGGCCACAGGATTACGAGTTCCGCGCGCTATCCATTCAGCTGCTAGACCCCAGAGTGTGTGTGTGTGTGTGTGTGTGTGTGTGTGTGTGTGTGTGTGTGTGTGTGTGTGTGTGTGTGTGTGTGTGTGTGTGTGTGTGTGTGTGTCTCGAACTACCACCCACAAGAGTGGGAGACGGTAGCTCTAACAACTGCACCATGACCAACGTTAATAAAGAAGGATTCCTGAAGCAACTAACTGCTGCCCAACTGGAATTTTAAGCTTAAAATTCAAAAGTAGCAAAGTAGCTACTGACAAAGGCCTGAGACAGGGTTGAGAGTGCTCTAGTAGTTATTTCACTATTCATATGTGGCCATTCTGCACTTATTATATCAGTGATTACTGATCTTTAGTGCATCTGTACTTGTAGGAGAGAAATGTCTATTTGTTCAAAGTAAGCGGTCAGACGCTTGGAGCCTAGCCTCACGAATATTGCAGGGTGAAAAGTCTGGGTTCCGGGCAGAACATAGGATGATCGTGATCGAGCTCCATGTTCCCCCCCCTTTTGCAGGAAATGGCGAACTACCTTAATTTGCAAGCTCGCTATGTAAAAAAAAAAGTTCATCCTCACTAAGATTGAAGGGAAAGTGTTGAAGCGTGGAAGATGGGTGTGGGGGGAGGTCTTGCGAGGCCCGGGTCTCTCTCCAACCCACTTCCCCCCATTCATCACCCGGTGATGGGTATAATGAAGGGGGGGGGGGGTTGAGACCTGGGCACCAACCGGGTCTCTCTCTCTCTCTCTCTCTCTCTATACCCTCGTTTGCCACTTCCTTCACTGCCCCAGGCCTTGTAATATCTCGACCGCGCCACCTACTACTACCACTGAAATAACCGTGCAATCTCCGCTCCTTCTATGGTAATAACGGATGCTATATCGATCATGTAAGATGTTAACACTCGGGCCGTCATACGAGGACGTAAACCAGTAGACAGAGGAGAGAGAGAGAGAGAGAGAGAGAGAGAGAGAGAGAGAGAGAGAGAGAGAGAGAGAGAGAGAGTGCGGAAGAGTGAGGCAGAGCGAGGACGAGAGCAAGGGAGGGAGAACGAGAGCAAGTGAGGACGAGGGAGAGTGAGAAACTAGTTAGGGAGAGTGAGACAGAAAGATAGAAATATTCGTAGTCACAGCCCTCGTATGAGTTACCAAGTAATGCTGCCATCACCCTGAGTTACCGGACAGGGGACCGGAGTGAGGTTCGTAGGTCTTAATTATTAGACCTATCTTACCCCCTTACACTTAACACTTCACCACATCAACAACTTAAGTGGAACGGTCTAGTGGCCCATGCGGTTTTCTGTAAAATCTGGGAGCCACTTGATTTGGGCTTCTGTGCACCCGTGTAGCAGGGGTTTAGATCTTTCTAAAGGGACCTTCTGTCCAACCATGGGAGCCATAGGCAGAATAAGTCACCGAGGGATGACCTCTGCGACTCCCAGTCAACCAATTGGAAGGACGGAGTGATTAGCTCTCAGCCAAGGAGAGATTATTTCTAAGTAAGAAGGGGGAAATGGGTAACGAGAAAGAATGAGCAGCAAAATATAAGACTATGAGAGCTCGCAGAGTAAAAATTCCATCCCCTCGAGAAAGGAATAGGCTACACTAAATAAAATGAATTATCCCAAATTTTGGCCAACCTCAAGGTAAGATTCCCGAGATTAATACCCACCAGGAACACATTTATAACACTATGTTACCAAGATATAGATGCTGACATTATAATCAAAGGAGAGCACACATGAAAACTAAAAACCCTCCAAATTTTATGTTACAATACCCCAGGAGCTGAAGGCCAAGAAGCCAATAGCCTTAAAGAGATATGACAAGTCACTCGACAGCCGAGACCCCTCAAAGCATCTTCCAATACATCCAAGCAAGAAATGAATGAATGGGGGGCCAACGTAGTAGTCGTCATTCTCGTGTCAGCTATGAAATTGACGAAGAAAGAAATCGCCTCGACACAAAAAGCTCTCAACCTGGGCATTTACATTTATCACCTGCATCAGCACAGCCAACATGAATATTGAACTAGAAGAATACTATTAAATAACTCCATACTGGACATGCTACACATATGAACACAGCTTCAGCCTGCACTTAGAAGAATATCAAAGTATGTTCTGATTGCGTTCAACAAGGTCACGCCTTCAGGGAGGAAAAACGAAAAGAACCCAAATGCCACTATTGTGAGGAACCTCACCGTACATAAGCATTCATTTGCCCCACAAGGAAGAAACTCCTCAAACAAAAAAATGAGATGAAGCTACATCGGCCAATAATACCTATGCAGGTATAACTGTGACAAATACATGGACAAATAAGGCTTCACACAACCCAACAAACACATCCTTGCAGGTAAATAGTGACCTTCCAACTAAAATATTGGACAGCATGATCTTTGCCGTCCTTGAAAACCTTCCAAAGAAAGGATCATTTGGACCCAGTGTAAAGCCAATGTAAAAGTGATATGGACTTCCGGATATGAACTTCCCAGATAATGCTTCCTCCTTTGAAATTATTAAAGCCCAAGTGGACAACAGTATCATCAACACAACTGGAGACGGTATTAGCTCCCGACAAGTTCAGAAATCCACCAATGTAGAAAATCTCACCGATCCTGAGGACATTGGAACAGCACCAGCAACACAGGAGACACCTATAATAGAGAATGAGAATGAAGAAAATGAGAGAGAGACCTCGAAGCCGAAGTGCCCTTCAATGCTATTCCCACACTGTCAACAGCACAGACTCAGACACAGAAGCCCGAGACACAGAAGAAGCCTCAAAAACAACAGAATTGTTTTTGACAAGCAAGACTCACACGGTTAACCGAAACACCTTTCAAAAGGGAGGAGTAAATTCTCGACAAATATAATTCCAAGACAACTTTCCCAACAACACTAAAAGCGAAGTCCAGGATGGTATAACTTAGACAGTTATACAGTTTGTAATATTTGTAATAGGTGTACAATTTTGTAAAGCAGATGTGTGTGCAGATGGCTTATTCCAAGAATAATGGGATGGCCTGATTCCAATTAATCATGACACTTCCATTATTCGATGGAACAACGATTTGCAATCCTTTTGAGGTCTGCACCACTGTGCAAGCCACCTCTGGACTGTACGACCCCGGATACACTTCAACTTACACTCGTCATCAATGACAATGCATATCCAACCCGTCCTCTCAACCGACTGATGAGGATTAAGCCACCCAAGAGGTGGCACGGGCATGAATAGCCCGTAACCTGTCAACCCATATGTCTGATGGTTGAGCAGGAGTGCCCAACCTGCTTGCACACACACACACACACACACACGTCTCCACAATGGTCATTATAACACGCCCGAGAATGATGAACACCTCCCATCCTGTCGTTGCTAGATCACTGAAATAGCCATGAACAGAGAAGGAAATAGGAACTCACCTCAAAATTGGTTGATTTATGTCCCTCGAAGAGGATCAATATCTTACCTGTAATGGAATGAAAGCAAATTATTCAGATATGCACAATATAAATACGTTTATACATTTCAGTACTCACACACTTCAAAAATAGTTAAATCGCTACAAGAATGGTTACATTTTAATGCATATATATAATCACCTGAGTTGAGGAGGCTGATATACTTGGTGTAGTGAGGCCAGACTGGGTGGGCAACACTGCCTGCGACGTCCTCGCATCCACAAATCTTGCAAGACGTCGTAAACACTCAACACAAGACGAGAAACACTGAACCAAGGATTGAC